GCGGACCGACGTCGTGCCGGCCCTGTCAAGTTCGGGGTCAGAAGACAGCGGTGGCAACTTGAAATACCAGGGACAAAGCGATTTGCAAGTGCTTTTCACGTGTTCGTGACGTATGGTGGGCTGGCTTTGGTCCGCAGCAGTCGTTTGTCGCTGCCGCTTTAGCTAATGTCACGCATTGCAGTACGTCGTGGTGCAGCGGGCGCAACCGTTCGTCGGTGTAAGCAGGGCCGCGCGCGGTGCGGTAGTCCACCAGGATCGTGGGGAGAGCCCCCCCCCCTTCCCCACGCCATGTGACGGCCACGTCTGTCGGTCGGCTACGTGGTACACTGGCGTGGAGGGCGTTGTCTCGTGCGGTCCCCGCCTGGCGGAGCGGTATTTCCCGCACGCCGGCGACCGAGCCCTGCTCGTCTCGCACCGTTGTTCCCCACGTCTTGCGTCGCTGCTTCGGGTTTCTTCTCCCATTAATGTGTGTTACTGCACGGTGATTAGCGCCTCAGCCTCTCACGTCAGCTGTTGCGACGGCGCCAGTGAAACAGTACGCATCGCCCGGGATTCGAACCCAGGTATCCGGGCCTGGCGTCCAGCGCGTCGTCGGTCGGGCAGCCGCGACGCGTGGCAGTGACCGAGGCGCGGCCCGTCCCCAGGCTGGCGGCCATCTACGGCGGCACGTACATGCTGGACAAGGCGGTGGACGAGATCGTGGTGGAGGACGGCCGCGCCGTCGGCGTCCGCTCCGGCTCCGAGGTGGCCCGCTGCAAACAGGTCTACTGTGACCCAAGCTACGTGCCCGACCGCGTGACCAAGGTCAGCTGACGGGGACGCCGGACTGGATGGCGGGTCGCCTGGGTCAGAGGGGGTCACCGGGGCAGGTCCACTGCGTCAGTGGTGAGCCGCCGAGGGGGGGGGCGGTCACCACGGGACATTGGAGGTCGGCACCTGGCCGCGGATGGTGGATGGGACCAGTATGCTGGACCACAGGTCAGCATGGTTAGCCGGATCACCGAGCAGGTCCAGCAAGCATTGGCACACTAGGCAGGTCTGACCCGAAGTTTACAGGTCCTGTGGGTTACTTGGGGTTGGTATACATTGTCAACTTGGTCTGGGCGTGGTCCAGCGGGCCCCGTCGTCCGCGTGGGTGGGTGGTGCCGCCGGGGCCGACAGCCTCCGACCCGGCCCCAGCTGACCGACCTCCCGCCTCCGCCGCAGTCCGGCCAGGTGGTGCGCTGCATCTGCCTGATGGACCACCCCATCCCCAACACCAAGGACGCGCTCTCCACGCAGATCGTCATACCGCAGAAGCAGGTCAATCGGAACTCGGGTACGTGGCGGCGCCGGCGGTGGACGCGGCCGGGAGGGCTGCCACCGGCAGCGCTCCGGGACGGCCGGGCTTGCCTCACAGGCTAGGAATAGCTCCAGACGCGAAAAATCGATATCACTCGGCCACCCGAACAGCGCGACAGCCTTCGTTCGCACTGCGCGCATGCGAAGTGTCGCGCAGAGGCGGCGTCGTCGTTCACCTCGTGGTCTGGCTCGGCGCCGCTGGGCGGAGCGTCAGCGGTGCGGCTGGAGCGGCCGCACCTGCGACGGGCAACGCCCTCCTCACCGGCCGTCTGTCCGCAGACATCTACATATCGCTGGTGTCCTACACACATCAGGTGGCCGCCAAGGGATGGTTCGTGGCCATGGTCTCCACCACCGTGGAGACGAACAACCCGGAGGCCGAGATCAAGCCCGGCCTGGACCTGCTGGGACCCATCAAGCAGAAGTAGGGCGTTCGTGCAGTCTCCTTCCTCCCCTGTCTCTGTCGCCCTGTCGCCCTTGACTTGCGCGCACTCACTGAATGCGATGTTTTCCCCGAACGTGTCAGGCCCAACAGTGTGTGGAGGAACGCACCCACCTGTTGTCAGGTCGCGGCTGTTCTCTGAGCCGTAAGCCGTCAGCGGCCGTCACGCACCGCCTCCCGTGCAGCTGCAATTTAGTGCCGCCAGATCGCCGTCGCCCCGCGGCGCACACGTTCCCCGGCTGCCCTCGCCCCACGTGACCGTCTCCGCCCGCTCAGGCCCCTGGCGGCGTCGGACCACGTGCTGGCGGCCTCAGGCGCCCCTCTGACCGTGCACCCGCGGCCCCGCCAGATTCCTGACCGTGTCGGACCACTTCGTGCCGGCCGAGGACGGCACCAGCTCGCAGATCTTCATCTCCAGCTCGTACGACGCCACCAGCCACTTCGAGACCACGTGCCTGGACGTGCTGGACATCTTCCGGCGCGGCTTCGGCTGCGACTTCGACTTCTCGAAGGTGACGCACACCCTGGAGGACGACAAGTAGACGGCGCTGCTTGTCGCCGCGTCCCGCGCTCGCGCGCTTGCACCGCACCCTTCTGGCGGCCACCCGGCCGCGGCGGCGGCGTCCGCCGGGCCACCGACACCCTAGTCCGGTTGTGCACAGGTCTGTGATCGCCGCGGGCGGAAGACGAATCGTCCGCACTCAGAAGTCAGTAGGTGGACCCGTTCGGCTCGATTCTAGGCACATCCGCCATCTATTTTGACTTCTTTTCGGTGGTGTCGAGTATTGCAAAGGCGCTTATCATATGATTTTATTGCACGGCTGTACCGGCCTGGTGCGTTGACGTATCGAATATGTGTGGTGTTGAAACTATTATTGTTTGGGCGTTTCTGGGCGCTACGTGTCTATGTCTGTCAACGGCATTGGAGAGGCATCTGGCTTGGATGACGCTATTACCCCAGCGCTGCGGGGCCTTGGTATTGGCATTCCAATAAACTAAATTGGCATCTAACCGGTTCAGTTTCGTTTGGTGTGAGCTTCGTGGAACACGACAATGAACAGCGACAGGAAGATTACACTACCGCGCACGCGCCTCTGTATTGTTCAGCGGGCGTCACCCCAAGGTCACGACCTCAGTACAGTTCTATCGACACTGAACTCACGCCATACCACTGTAGCTCCTCCCAAGTACTTGCATGCATCACGACGACCAACATTGTACACTCACTGCCGTCGGCGGAGAAGGCAGGACAGCGGCGATGCACGACGGAAAGCGGTCAGCACGACCATCACAAGCAGCCGCCGCCGCCGCGACACCGTCAGACAGCGGCGACGCACGACGGACAGCGGCCAGCACGACCATCACGAGCGGCCGCCGCCGCCGCGACACCGTCAGACAGCGGCGACGCACGACGGACAGCGGTCAGCACGACCATCACGAGCGGCCGCCGCCGCCGCGACACCGTCAGACAGCGGCGACGCACGACGGACAGCGGTCAGCACGACCATCACGAGCGGCCGCCGCCGCCGCGACACACCGTCAGACAGCGGCACGCACGACGGACAGCGGTCAGCACGACCATCACAGCGCCGCCGCCGCCGCGACACACCGTCAGACACGCGGCGACGCACGACGGACAGCGGTCAGCACGACCATCACGAGCGGCCGCCGCCGCCGCGACACCGTCAGACAGCGGCGACGCACGACGGACAGCGGTCAGCACGACCATCACGAGCGGCCGCCGCCGCCGCGACACCGTCAGACAGCGGCGACGCACGACGGACAGCGGTCAGCACGACCATCACGAGCGGCCGCCGCCGCCGCGACACCGTCAGACAGCGGCGACGCACGACGGACAGCGGTCGCACGACCATCACGAGCGGCCCCGCCGCCGCGACACCGTCAGACAGCGGCGACGCACGACGGACAGCGGTCCAGCACGACCATCACGAGCGCCCGCCGCCGCCGCGACACCGTCAGACAGCGGCGACGCACGACGGACAGCGGTCGCACGACCATCACGAGCGGCCGCCGCCGCCGCGACACCGTCAGACAGCGGCGACGCACGACGGACAGCGGTCAGCACGACCATCACGAGCGGCCGCCGCCGCCGCGACACCGTCAGACAGCGGCGACGCACGACGGACAGCGGTAGCACGACCATCACGAGCGGCCGCCGCCGCCGCGACACCGTCAGACAGCGGCGACGCACGACGGACAGCGGCCAGCACGACCATCACGAGCGGCCGCCGCCGCGCGACACCGTCAGACAGCGGCGACGCACGACGGACAGCGGTCAGCACGACCATCACGAGCGGCCGCCGCCGCCGCGACACAACCGTCAGACAGCGGCGACGCACACGGACAGCGGTCAGCACGACCATCACAAGCGCCGCCGCCGCCGCGACACCGTCAGACAGCGGCGCCACGACGGACAGCGGTCAGCACGACCATCACGAGCGGCCCGCCGCCGCCGCGACACCGTCAGACAGCGGCGACGCACGACGGACAGCGGTCACACCATCACACACGCCGCCGCCGCGACGCGACAAACCGTCACAGCGGCGACGCACGACGGACAGCGGTCAGCACGACCATCACAGCGCCGCCGCCGCCGCGACGTCAGCGGCAGATGGTCGTCACGACAGGTCGGCGCTGATGCAGACGGCCGGCCACTGGCGCCTCCTGGCGCACGTCTGGCGCTGGGTCAGACCACTCATACACCCGGTTAAGGCCAAACAGGTCAGCTCACATCGTCAAAGTCAATCAGGTCAACTCCCAGCGTGCGGTTCAGCGGTCGCGTTCAGGTCGTCTTCGGCGAGGCAGGCGGATTACCCCGGTCGGCGGTGGGCCCGGCCTGCGCCGGGCGTCACGGTACTCAGCTCTGCGGACCCGGGCGAAGGCTGACAGCCCCTGAGCGATCTGCCGAGCTGGACAGTGCTGGTGGTGCCAGCAGACACGGAAGTCTGCGGTGTCCGTGTACAACGCTTGTTCACGGGACTAGTCCGTGTTCTCGTGGACCCTGACCGCCGCGGGTCTGCCTAGCTGCTGTCACTGTGGGCTCACGCTTCATGGGACCGGCATCTGCTCGGACAGGCCCTGACCCTCAGAACACCGACCAATGGCACTGCACACCTCACGGTCCAAGAAGATAGCCTCTGCGTCCGCAGGCCGCGTCCGCCACAGCACCGGCTGATGTCCCTGCGCGGCCGACAGCTCACGAGATCATGGCCTGCTCCTGCAGCGCCTGCTCGTCGGCCGCCTTGCTGCCGTCACGGTAGACGCGGCCGTCCAGCGTGACCGCCTCGCAGACGGCCTCGAAGGCGCGCCGCAGCTCGATGCCCAGCAGCTCGTTGGCGGGCAGCGCATGTCGCAGCTGGACGGCCGCCGCCGTCCGCTCTTCGGCCTTGCGGCTGTCGTGCCGGATGACCAGGTCGTGGCTGGAGCCGCCGAGCGCCGCGTGGCTGGCGCTCACCTGGCCCAGCTGCAGCAGCAGCGACGTGACGTCGCGCGCCAGCGGCGGGAAGGCGCGCACCAGCCGCACCAGCGCCGGCAGCGTCGGCAGGAAGGCGCGCGGCCGCTCCGTCCACGGCAGCACTGCCGGGCACGGGCGGGCGCCGAGCCAGTCATGCACACGCACACGCACACGCAGACAGCGGACACGACGGCCGGCCGACAGGAGCAGGCCGCACTCTCGGCAGCGCGCGCCGCGTCCCAACAGGTGGGCCGTCCCGCGACTGCAGCGGACTTGCCGAGCTTCCACGGCTCGTATTACGCCGCGATTATCCCTGTCGACGAATGATAACACCGAGTACCGCGTCCGCCTCACGCACCCAGAAATGACGACGGATCCTGATTAGGCTGCTGTGAGCAGGGTTGTTAGGGTGTTAACTCAACGTTGAGCAGGGTGGTCAGGGTGTTGACTCACTGCTGAACAGGACGGCCAGAGTATTGACTCACTGCTGAGCGGGGTGGTCAGGGTACTCATGACTCACTGCTGAACAGGGTGGTCAGGGTGTTGACTCACCACTAAGAATGGTGTTGACTTACCGCTGAGCAGGGTGATCAGGGTGCTGATGACTTACCTCTCGGTAGTGTGGTCACGGTGTTAACTCACCGCTGAGCAGGGTGGTCAGAGTGCTGATAACCAGCCGGCCAGTGCTGTAGCAGCGCGGGATCGGGAACTGCGCCGCCAGCTGTGAGGTCAGATCGGCAGCGAAGATCTGCTTGTCCAGGTCGGGCTGGGCCAGCAGCTCGGGGATGAAGTCCAGGCAGATGTGCATGGATGGTACGCCAGCGACCAGCACGGGCAGCACCTCGGCCGGGTACCCCTGCCACGGGAGGAGGAAGAGGAGCCATCACAGACACTGCGCACGGTCTCGAAGAGCGAGAGGGTATCAAGCCTGAAGCCTGCGCACGGAACGGCAAGACACGAGAGCGGGCGGTTCAATACGGCGACTGTAGTGCAGACATAGCCACATGCACGCACAGTAGGTCTGGAAGGCAAGTGGCGTGAGCCCGACACGAAGGAAATCAGAGACAACCGTGCGACAAAACCATTACCTACGCACGCTTCTCCCGTCCGCCGCACGTGACCGTAGACTCGCGTGAAATGTGATACGATTGCTTCGGGAGATCGGCATCAGCTGTTCCAGTTCGTGCCGTACTATGACACACCGACCAAACGAGGCGCCAAAGCAACGGGCCATAACTCGCGACCAGGCACGAAGCGCGGCAGGCAACAGTCGGCGCTCTCCGCACCTGGCGAGTCTTGCCTTGCCGTGCTGGCGCGTCCGCTCACCTGAAAGTGCACGAGCTTGGCCAGCATGGGGTTGTCGATGAAGGCCTGGTGGAGGTAGGTGCAGACGAGACAGCGCACCTCCTGCAGCAGCTCGCGGCCGCCGGGCGCCGCGCGGTCCTGCTCCGTCTCCTGGCACACCTCGATCAGCAGCTGGATGGCGGCCGAGTCCTGCGCCAGCACCAGGGCGCTGCGCAGCTCCTCACGCTCGGCGTCCGTCGGCATGCCCCTGCAACCGGCGGCGGGCCGCGGTTTGGCGGGGTAGCGGCGCGAGCGCGGACCGGCAGCCACCGACACCCGGCGGTACGTGCCGGGACATGACTGACGTATTGGGGGACGAGGCTTTCCTAGACATCTCCACCCTAGAAAAATTGATCTCTTGCCATGACCGGGGTGGACGATGAACATCGCATGCGCAGGCGCCTGCTGTCCGTTGTCCAGCATAACCCAAAAACTTGCCTTGTCACATCAACCATGAGCTGGAAAACTCAACAACCACAGTGCAAAGCACGAGGTGCTGAACAGCTTATATCAAAAGGACATCAGAAACCACGGCCTCACACCAGTGGACCGGGCACATCTCCACAGCCTACGCCTACCTGCGGACGATACGTCACCAGGCCAGCCCTCAACACAATTTAGAAGTGCACAGTCAAGAGCACATCACGTGGACCCTAAGGCCGCCTGCCGCGGGTAACGGCCGGCGGTACGTACGGCTGCGGCGGCACAGGTGACGGGTGGTCCAGCAGGTGGCGCTTGAGCTGCGCGCGCGACGCCGCCAGGTAGACGTTGAGCAGCTCGAGTACGACCTCGAGCAGCGGCGGCGCGCGCAGCACGGCCGGGTGGCAGCGCAGCACGTGCAGCGGGTCCTGGGTGAGGTCGTCGCCGGTGAGCGGGACGCGGCGGCACCGGCTCCGTGTCGACTGGCCGCAGCGCCGTCACCGTCATCGCCCACAGCCGGTGCGGGAACACCAGGCTGAGGCGCGCCCACAGCTGTCGGAAGTGCTGCTGCAGCTGGCGCGACACGCCCGGCCGCAGCAGGCAGCTGGCGCGCGGCACGAGCGCACCCGCCAGCTGCCACAGCTGGTGGCCGGGCAGCTGCAGCAGGCGCGGCAGCAGCCGGCCGGCGGCGGCAGACGTGTCCGGCAGGCCGCTGAGAGCTGTCGGCGGGAGCGGAGCGAGTCAAGCACGGCCAGGCCACCGCCCCATACCCGCAGCCGCACGGTCCGGGCAGGGACGCGGACGGGGCCGATCCAGGTACGCCCGGCGAACACCCAGAGGCGGACGGCCACTGGACGCAGCAGCATACGCAGCCAGGCAGGGAGCCGAGGGTGCGGCGCGTCTCGCCCTGCGCGGCTTGGCGGCGCGCAGCGCTGGCTGGTGGCGCAGAGTTCAGCACAAAGGCAGAAATTTTGTACCTATGGTACGATCAGCTACATGAGGCCACCAACCGCGTACGATGTTTGCAATCATGCAGTACCCCCCCCCCCCTCCCCCCCCCCACACACACGGAGATGCTTGAGGGTCGATTTGAGAAATAGCAGTGATACAATCATGGAGTCATTTGCATTCGAGTCAATTCTACGTTGGCGGAGAGCCAAACCTGTACGTCTAGTCGTCATTTCAAATCGTTCAATCGAATCACGTCGTTTAAAACCCCGTAACATTATTGCATCCAAGGTTCTTGCCTGCTTAGAATTCACAAGCTACACATTACGAAAAAAAACATCATTCCTGCGCTTAAGAAAGCCTGTTTTGCCGAAACTTTCTACAAAGAAAAAACACTGCAACCTGACCATGCTATCATGATGCTGTCCTTTAATCGCTGAGAGAAGACCCCACCCGTGGAGTGTTAAAACATAACGGGAAAGAACGTCACGAGCAAGTGGGCTAGCCTGTGGGTCCCTGCGTGCTCCATCACCGGCACGAGTCATCAGCGGGAGCACGACCTCTGAATCCACCGCGGCACGAGGTGCGCGGGTGAGCCCGGCTGGGCCAGGGCCTCACCTTCCTCGATCTGCGTGGCAGAGGGGGGCGCGCACTCGGCGGCGGCGCCCTCCAGCTCGTCGGGCTGTGCGGTGATCCAGTGTGTGACCAGACACAGCTGCGGACTGTGGCTGGTGAGCAGGCCCAGCAGCGGCGAGAACAGGCCGGCGTACTGCGCCTGGCGCCGCTCGGCCAGCCGCAGCAGGTATAGCACCGGCAGCTGCCAGACGAGCGCGCCGCGGTAGGCGGCCGGCGCGCGGCCCTGCGCCGCCAGCGGCCGCACCGCGGCCAGCCGCCGCTCGTCGTGACGCAGCAGGTAGTAGAGCAGCAGCAGCTGCGCAGTGGCCGGCTCCACCAGCCAGCCGGCGGCCGGCGCGCCGTCCGCCGACGGGAAGCAGGAGACGCTGAACACGGAGGCGATCTGCTCCTCGGCGATCGGCTGGTTCGTGTGCTCCTGCTGCGGCGGCGGCGGCGGCCGGCGGTCACGGGAGGCGTCCAGTCACGCGGCTCACACGTGCGGGCACAAGCCGTTGCGCGCATCGCCCATCGACACAGTGCGGGCACAAGCGCGGCTCACGAACAAATTAATAGCTAATGACCCGTGCTCACTTGCATATCTACCTGCAGACATCCGCTGTTAGGTTTGTGATCATCATATGCTAGTGCTGTTTCGCTAACCATCCGTAAACATGAATTACTGCGCGATCTATCTTCACAAAGCAAGCAGTCGCGCGAAAATGGTAGTGCACACTTCCAGATCTGGCCACGGAGGTTTTTGTGCAGATGAAAACTTTTCCAAATGACAAAGGTACATTCATCTGAGAGCTTGCATCAAAACCTTTTCAAGGATTTTAAAAAATTCGACCGGGCGATCCAAAATAGAGCACCCGCTGACGAGGTCTATACCTGCTGAGGCCTTTGGGTTGTGTCCAACATGGACTTGACGTAGAGGTCGATCAGAGATGGGAGGACGGGATGCAGAGGCGTCTTACTCTGGCAGATTTGCCTGGAAACGCATCGCGGTGAGATCACGAGGCAGGCACATTGATTACTTACATCGTTTCGTGTTTTAAATGCAATACATAAGCAGATTGGCAACATAGCATGACACCGTCTTAGGAGCGGAACAATTGGTCAACAATTTCGCCATCTTACAAGTCAAAATACTACCAATATTACTGAGGGTGTTGGTTTTCAAATAAGTATCTCATGCATGTCAAGGTGGCAAAAAAGAACGAGCCTATCACATCGTGGCAACAGTAAACTGAGGTAATAGCACCACTTTCCTCTCGCACTTAGATGTCACTTGGATTTGTGTGCATGTCGCCCTTGTATCACATTTGTGCCTTCTTCGTTAAGTCCGCAACAGGACTTCACCGAACCCACGACCAGCCATCGGTCCAGCAGCGGCTCTGACCTGAAGATCCAGTCGTTGATCGGCACCTTGTGCTTGGTGAAGGCGCGCGTCTCAGCAGCTGGTACACGCAGTGCACGGGCAACGTCCCCGGGATGTCAGCACTTAGCGACGGGGTCACCTTCACCTTCACCGCGTGTGACGTCACCACCTGCAGATGACGTCAGTCGTGACGTTGCAGCCTACAATGGGCGGTCGCGCAAGAAGCTCAGCAAACTTTCCAGGCGAACTTCCAACTTAAGGACCGTTCCATGCGCTGCAGGCGCATGCATACGGATGGAACGGCCCGCCAACCGCAGACACTAGATGCAGCCCACTGTTGGCTTTTCAGAGCTGTCATAGTATCACCGGTGGGTGATGTAGGTTTCATGACTTGGTGAGTCCCGCAGTGTTCACATTTCATGATAAGTATGATACATAATCTGAGGCATCTTGACGCGCTTCTTATCGGCGTAACTAGCCATCGTAGATTTAATACGACTTGTCCATGACACACATCCGTAAGATACATACTAGCGACCCTCTCGCCAGAGGGGCGCACTATGGCATTCGCGGGTGGGAGGAGTCCCAGCGTCACGCGATACCTGGCCTCACCCACCTGGTCGGTGAACACGTCATGTGTGAAGATGTGTTTAATGCGGTTCAGGTTACTTTGGCGGATGTTCATCTTCATGCCGAGCGTGTTGTTGACGAGCTCGATGATGGCAGTGAGGTTGCCGGCGTGGAAGTGGATGGCGAAGAGCAGCAGGGTCTCGCCGAATGAGGCCGACTCGCCGCTCGACCTGGGCCGCCACGTGCACCGTGTCAACGAGACTCAGAACGAAGGCCGGTGTCACACGACATCACCGGGCAATAACGTGGCACGAGGAGAGGTGACGAAAAACTGATACAAATGTCGGGTAAAAGAAGGGAGGAACTCGTTACGGTACCACACGTCGGCCGACCCTTCATACAGTGGGTCTCCATGTATCTGATGCCAACCTGGATAAGCGTGACACTGGACACCGTCTGGTACGACAGGGGACCTCCAACCGCCAGATAACCACAGCTCCCGGGGCGTCAGCCTGGAGGCCGACCCGCCCGGCTCCGGCTCACCGTTCGAAGTAGGCCTCCTGCGTGGCGAGCCAGCGGAGCCAGCCGACGGCGCGCCGCTCGTGCTCGGCGTGCATCAGCAGGCTGGGGCAGCCGATCAGCGCGCAGAGCGAAAGCGCCACGAACCGCACGCCAGCCGGCGACGGCGGCGGCTGCGAGGTCAGCAGCTGCACCAGCAGGCGCATCTCCTCCTCCGTAAACCTGCCGACCGCGCCGGGGCGCCGTCACAGGGCGGCAGGGCGGCGGCGAAGAGCGCAGGGCGCCCATTGAGGGGGGCGGCGAGAGTGTAGTCTCGGGGCCGAACGGAGCAACTGACTCACGAAGACAGGACCACTGTCATACCACGGGACAGATAACGCGTTGGACTGTACCGGACTGCGCGAACTGAACATAGATATCGCAAACACATGCGTGTCACGCCGTCAAGCTAACAGCGTGTTCACGCGGCTAACCCAGCGCGAAGGGCTATTCCACGTACAGTCCGTAGAAAACTCCGGCCAACCCCATGCGAAAGACTTCACAGGACCGCGGGCCTCGCTAGGAGACGATCAGCACGCAGCGTGGCCGGACAGCGAGCACTACTGGCAGCTTCAGTTGGGATGTGGAGGCCCGTTACGCCTCCCTTGCACCCGTCCCAGCAGCACGAAGTCATGTCCGACACGACACGCACGCACGCGTCAGTGTCGCAACGAACACTGGAAAGGCAGTCACAGAGTCTAAGCTCCGTCTCCCACTGACAATCCTCGAGCCGGAGGGCAGCGCACTAGCCGCAGTGGCCTACTTGAGTCCGGCGAGTCCACGCAGGGCGCAGTAAAGCCGGACGGATGCGGCGGCGTCCACCACGCCCGAGTCCGGCAGCCGCTGGTTCATGGCCATTAGCAGGGTGTTCTGCAGGCGCTCCAGCAACCGGTCCCGGAGCGACTGCAGCGTGGACGACACCAGCGTGCCCTTCCGCTGGAGCAGACAACGCGGGGGTCAGAGGTCAGGCAGCGCGGGGCCAGAGGTCAGACAGCGCGGTCAGAGGTCAGGCAGCGCGGGTCAGAGGTCAGTCAGTAGGTGGGCACCCGTCCGGATTCGCAGCGTTAGGACTGGACATGCACAACAGGCTAATCGTCATGTCAGGTCCCTCGGCTGGCGATAGGCAGAGTGACACGAGATCGGATGACACCTTATTATTATAGCACATAGACAAGTCCGTAACAAGTCGTAAGTAGGCGGCCCATCTGCACACTATAGCCTCATTCAAGCAGAGGCCAGCTGAAGAGAAGACGAACTCTACATCTCAGATCAGAGTCACTTCGCATCTACGGACGCCATCTGACGCAGCGCCCGCATCCCCAAACAAGATCAGAGGGTTGCCTCCACACAACTGACGCCACCTCCGCAACCCACACTAGACAACAGCACACCCGAGGGTGCCACCACGGCTGAACCCGCGCCGCGGCCGCCTGATCCGTTCAGCCTGCAGTACACCGACAGCGCCGCCGCCCCCAGCCCGCCTAATCCGGCCCCGGCCACACCTTCTGCCCGTTCCTGACGAGCGCCTGGAACCAGAGCGCACGTGCTGGTGTTTGCCGAGCGGATGCCGGAGACGAAGGCCACCAGGTCACCGGCGTCGCCGGTGTCGGGCGGTGCGGCGCGCCTGCTCCAGCGACAGACTCACCGCCAGGCTCGGCATGCGGCACGTCTCCATCTGCGGCGGCACAGGCGGCGGGGTGAGGCGCGCCGGCCGCCCGCGGACCGGGCACGCGGCCACAATGTGGCGCACTGCGGCGCGCAGGCGCGCACGCAGCTCGGCGTCCAAAGCCTGCTGACCGGGGTCCAACCGCAGGTGACCAGTGGTCGGTATCAGGTAGAGGGTATTACGCACCGGAAGAAGATCCGCCTCTGGAAGGCTCTGGTTGTTTCCCAGGAGTAGCCGATAAGTCAACAAACCCCATCGAAAAAACATAACTTTCCAAACTAACCGCACCACGTGACACACATTCTGGAAACCTGGCGTTCCTCAGCGCCACAATACCAAGCATCAAGGTAGTGCCCTGATCCCACCCTACCCTTCTGTCCAGCGGCGCACCAGTTCGCAACGACATGGCACACTGGCACCCTCCGCTCGCCTGCCCTCCTCAGTGGCACTCACGCAGACGGCGCGGACGGCGAGCACCTGGCGCGGGTTCATCTGGCAGAGCTGGCGGAGCGCTGTGATGCGCGCCGCGCCGCCGGGGGAGTCTTCGTCAAGCCGGTCCCCGCTCGTCACCAGCGACGTGCACACTGCAAGGCAGAGGGGCGCAGAGTCAGCCAGAGGGTGCACACCATGACACATACTGGGTGACAGAGGGGTGGACGGTCAGCAGAGTGCACATGGCGCCTAGCTCTCACTGGGTGGGGTAGGAGGCCAGCACGCAGCACATGCAGTCATTTGACGCCTGTTGCCACAGCTGACCATGTGTGGATGGCAAGCGCGAGTTGGCAATGCTCTAAGCACACACAATGCCACTTACAGCCCACGCATGTAAGGCACGGCATGCGCATGGCACGGACCGCCAACCGCAGACACTAGATGCAGCCCGCTGTTGGCTTTTAAAAGCTGTCTTAGTATCACCGGTGGGCGATGTAGGTTTCATGACTTGGTGAGTCCGCAGTGCTCACATTTCATGATAAGTATGATATATAATATGAGGCATCTTGACGCGCTTCTCATTGGCGTAACTAGCCATCGTAGATTTAATACGACTTGTCCATGACACACATCCGTAAGATACATACTAGCGACCCTCTCGCCAGAGGGGCGCACTATGGCATTCGCGGGTGGGAGGAGTCCCAGCGTCACGCGATACCTGGCCTCACCACCTGGTCGGTGAACACGTCATGTGTGAAGATGTGTCATCATCAGATGTGAATCAAATCCTTGAGTGGCGGAGGCGAGCAAATCATCACTGACGACATTCAAACGCAGTGCAAACACTCGCCAACTGGCAGCGATGCCCACCGCCCGCCCTACCCTTGAGATCGCGGAAGCAGTGCCCCAGCCGTACCACCAGCGGTGGAGGGACAGAAGCGAAACAAACCGTATCCGTACGGAACTGGGCCGAGCCCGGCCGGGGTGCGGCGCGGCGCAGCCGACCTCGCCGCCGTCACGCACCCTCGTGGAAGGCGTCCGGCATGTTGGCCACTAGGCGGCAGATGAGGGTGGCGCCGTGCCGCAGACGCAGCAGGCCCTCGCTGACGTCGGCTGGCGGCAGCAGCTGCGGCAGCTCGGCCAGCGCGATGCTCAGGATGTCGGCCGCGTCCTCCAGGTGCACGGTGTTGTCCAGCAGCTCTGACGGCTGCACGCTGAATTCCTGGCGCACGTCACGGGCCTGCGGCGGCCAGGTCATGCCCGATCAGCTTGTGTCAGATCGCACACCTGGCAGGCTAGTGTCACACAAAATGTGGTGAGGATTACATTGGCTTTGTTGGATTGTAGATGGATGCTGGTTTCATGGGTTTAGCTACAGGAGAGATGGGGGGGGGGGATGTGCAGTCATGGATTGCCTCAAATGTCACCATGCTAATGGTGCTGCATGGATCCCCTCAAAAATATTTGTCAAAACTTCTTTCACCCATTGTATGCTAATAGTGGTTGGCATCTACAATTCTGATAAAACAGATGCAAATATTTCTTGATGTGTTATATGGTAAAATACACATGCATATCATGTTCAGCTTATGATATTACTTCCTTACCTGGGCCATGACAAGAATAAGAGTGGCAAGCACCAACTTCAGCTTTTGGATGGGTTCACTTCTCTCAAAATCTGGTGCCCCTGCATCCTGAGCTGATGACAACAGCACACTGTCTGTTGTGGCTCCCATCTTTGACCTATGAGAGCAACCACACAAAAACATGTAAAAATAGCTCGGACACCTAAAATCTCATAATAACATATTCATGTGATGAGCTCCAAATCAATGCCACCATCATATACATTGAGGTGTCAACAAGTGCATATACTAATGTGGAGCATACACTACACTTTACACTAGGCACATATTACATAGACACTGTGACCATGAACAAATTCACGAGGCCAAACATGACTTGCTGTCCAAAATCATTACTTCTATCTCCTGATTTTTGAATATTCCTTATCATGCCATAGGATCAAAATTAAAATGTCACTGACCAGACTAGTCATTCTGAAATTGAGCAGATTAGTTCCTCAATGCTCCTAGTTAAACACTTGACACACACAGATGCTGGTGTACCACTTGAAAGAAGAAACCCTCATACATTGATGGAATGCTTTGAGCAGAGTTTAAAAGACATTTCATCTTTTGAGGCCAGTTTCTAAACCATATGATGGAAACACCACAGATGGTTTAACTTCATGCATGCAGGCTTACCTAAGCTGTTGCTCTTTTTTGACATCTGCTTCAAGCTGTGGGAAGCTTACTGATAGAAGTGCAACCAGAGAATTGACAACTTCTATGCCAGACAAGATGCGTAAGATTATTTTCCTTTTCTCCATGCACTCATTGGATTGATCCAGTGGTGCTATCAGGCTCATCCGAACCAAGCATGGCAGCAATGGGCGGATCTCTGCTTCAGAGCACTCTGCTAGTGCAGCAACATTAACACTCTCCATTGCCTCAAAAACTTTGGGACTAACTGGTAAAAGTGCTGAGGACATCTTTATATCTTGAGTGTGAAACCGCGAATACACGGCCCTCGGCTTGGCAGTGCTGTGCTGGATGTCCTCAGCAGCTAAACTTCAGAAATGCAGCTTGCAAATTTTTCCACGATCAGTGGAGTCATGAAGACGCTTTTACGTTTATGTTTAAGTATGAAATACATGCGAAGAGCATAACAATAAACGCCGGCGCGGCGCGATGGAATCACCCTGAATCTCAAACCGACACCGTATATGTATCAAAAGCGCGACTAATGTCAAAACAAATGACGTCATATCTTTTGGGATCTAATATACAGTCTTACTTCAGTGTGCACACCCACTTATCAGCCCGTCATTGCTAAGTGGGATGCATTTGTTGCAAGTGTGTAGCTCTGCAACAAAATACAGCCAAGTAAAACACTTAAATGATTTGCCATTTAAAGAATATTAAGTATTTGTTGCATAAGTAACGATGCCCGGCATAGTTTAGTCTGTCCTTTGACGTTAAAATGGGTTACTTCACATGTGAAGATAGTAAGGCAAGACTTAGATTTCGTGAAACAAGCTCACTTATGACTATTGGCATGCCTTTTTTAGTGGAAAAACTGCTCTAGACATCATCATTCTCTGATTAGTGAATATGCTGCTCAATGCGCTATGATTTGATCAGATCATCGTAGCTTGCACAACATTGATTGAAAGCCATTTGACAGCCGTTATATCAGGAAATCGCACTCCTGAACGCCAGATATGAACGCCTCGACAATCATTTTTTTCTTGGCCTTGATCACCAAATGGCTCACAGAAATGGGGATATGAACAACGTTTTTATGACCCCATGAATGCCATGGTGGCTTTGAAATACTCTCCCTGATATACATTTGCCCATCTCCGCCCGCGTGTAGCTCAAACACTTAAGCATTAACAAGGGCAGG